ACAAAGAGGACCTTTGTCAAGCCGTAAGAGGTGCGTGCAGCTGCTTTAGCGCCATCGTACATGCCCTTCAATATGGACCAAGTGTTCGAAAGCGTTTCGCTCCCTGAGCGCTCTCACAGTACAGGCCGAAGCAGACGGTCAATGCCTTCTTGAGGTCCAAGAACGCTTGGCAGAGTCACGCTTCTCTCGGTACTTCTTTATCGCCCGTCTAGCCATAAAAATGGTCAGTGGTAGACTTTTCGGGAATGAAGCGAGGTGCTCTTATGCGATAGGGACAAGCTCCTTCAGCCTTGTGTTAATTAGCCGTTCATAGCTTTGTGGTATGAGGAGCGGCATAGTGCCGCGGTAGTTAGAGCACTCGCATCTCCTTTCTAGAAGATGGGGACGATTGCACTGCTCGTCTACGCATCCGGCATTCTTTCTTGGGCTGTTACGTTTTTCAGGAAGTAGGTGAGCCAGCATACCGAGGGCCTTCCATGCCTCTGTCGGTATCGCGCTGCCGGTGGACCCACTGCCTTCCACACCTTCATTCTAACTAGCTCTTGGCGAACTTCATCCTCTGTCCAGAGAGCGACTGGGGCAGTCCTTGCGGGGGAACTCCTCGTTCAAATGTCTTTCGTGGTATTATTCCCATCTGCTTCTGATTTCTGATTTCTGCTGGTTTCCTATAGATGACACCGTTGCAGTTCTTCACGGTCTTCACTGCCCTTATGTTTTCAGTGGCGCGATGCCGGGCTTCAACCAGGCGGAGGACAAACTTGTCCCCTTCTTGGCCGTGCAGCTTCTCCCACTTATCCTTGGCAACGGCTACCTTAGCGAGTCGCTTGCAGCCCTTGTAGGCGGCGGGATCTTCAAGGCCCATTGTCTTTTGCCAGCATTTGTTCTCTTCCTTCTTCGGCGTAACTACCCTCCAAACATCCTCTTTCCACAACCACGCTGCCTTGTCTTCTCTGATTCGCGTCTCTGTCTCTTCCAGGACTTCCTCTGCACAATGTAGGATGAAACCTTTTTTGATCCAGGTCTTCTGGGGCTATCACGTAGGGCTGGCAGCCTAGCTGCCAGTATTCTTCGCTAGAAGCTATCTTTTTCCACCCTGTGCGTTTCCAAGATCCGGATTCCTCGCTCGGTTCTTACCCTCGCTTCCTTGGGAAGGTTTTTGGCGATGTCTACCAGGATCGTGCTAAGGACCCAGTTATTCGCCAGAAGCTCCTTCATTTCCTTCAGTCTTGAAAGATGATCTCCTGACGGGCACATGGTGATGCCTGTTTGTATCCCTCGACTGCTGTAGGTTATCATCTGGGTTTTCTTTTCGCGAAGGAAGTACTGCAGATCGCTAGGAGGGCTGTGGATAGGTCAAAGATCTGTTTTCCCCTCATCGTTCCTTGCTCCTATTCCACGGCCTCCATGCACCCTTTCTAGACCCCTGTTACTACTCACATAGCCATTCAGGTCACGATCTCTAGTTGAATCCAGCTAAGTCACCCTCTCAAATCTAACTAATGGTGTTGTCTAAGGTCAGATAGAACTCATCCTCGTTCAGCTCGGAGCGACCGGATTTCGGTGCGTATACGGTCACTGTTGTCCAGCATCCATCTTCGGTGTCTATTCCCACATCCATGAATCAATCACTGATCCTTCACACAGAGTAGAGTCTGCGAGGGATTCTGTTACCGCTATGGCCACACCATTCCGTTTATTGCATCCTCTGTTGCAGAAGGGCTTGACC